CAAGAAACTCCTTACTGTTATGGAGCAGTTGGTAATGTTGTGCCTCTTGGAGATTGAATGTGAACAGTAGTCTGCTTGGCATCACTATTTCAATTAGTGAAGTGGAAGAATTTAGCAGGATATAGTCCATTAGAGCAATACTTTATTAAAGGAATCAAAGTATTTGGACCAGTAAGGACTTGAATAATTGCTTTTAGGTAGAGACCAGGGGTGAAATTCTGGTCCCACTGAAGTGGAGGAGAGTTTACCAGTGACTTCAAGAGAGCCACAATTTAACTTCTGGTCCTTCTTAAATGTCTAATAGTTTCTTTTGTCCACAAAATTGATTTACCTGATGCAGACGGGGGTCTGGTTTTTGTTCTCTTTGGTCATTTGATTATTTTTTTTTTTAATTATTTTGAAGGGGAGTTGCCTTTAAAATTTAGTTTCAACTGCTGCTAGAACAGTTTCTGCATGCTTCTTATAGGAAAATGTCTCGTGTTTTTATGTACTACTGACAAAAGATGAAAAAGTAAGAAGTACAGTATCCTATTTGCTATCCTTTCTCTATGTAGTTTTACTGTATCTTTTAATTAAGTAAATGTCTGTTTACATTCTTGATGTAAAACCTCTCCATCTCCATGGCCTGTTGGAGATTTGAAGCTTTATGCGACCAGTGCAGACATTCCCCTATCAGAGGGAGAAAACCAAACGTGCTCAGTAGCGGCCCTTCTCGCCAACTGAGGAGTGGTATTGGTGAATTCCTTTCATTGTTCTTTCTTGGGAGAAGAGTGAACACAGTGTCTGTTATAGACAGAATAGTCTTTGTACATGAATCCAAAAATGCACCCTACAGTTCATAGTTTGCTAGACTGTTCATTATTGCCTCAAAACCTGTGTTAACACACTTCAGTACAGTTGGGTTATCTAGCTCAGCATGGAAAGTCTAGTTCTTTCATTACCATTTTAGGGCAGATTATGAAATTACAAGAAGGTAATGTTGCCTTGACAGAATTATGAAGACAAGTTGGGTAATTTCAGCTGGTATTGAATGCAGCTCCTCACCTATTTACCAGTACTTCCTGCAGGAAGCACATTACACCTGCGCTGCAGAGATTCAACTGGCTTCCATTTCATGCAAGTCAGGGTGTTGGCATTGATCTATAAAGCTCTCTTTATTGTTTGTATTCTGTGTATCTCAGAAAGATCCTCTCTTGGTTTTTAACCCAGAGGTTGTGATGACATGCTCAAGATGATAAGCTCTAGAAATATCATTTGGGGGCTGGGAAGATGAAGTTCACAGTGGAAATTCGCCAGACTCTTTTGGTCTGATACAGGTTTTGACCTTTACAGCATGTTGCAAACCCTGTTCCTTTATTCTACGCTTTTTTCAGGGCTGAGTAAGGATGAGTAGATTCAGATTAGGTGAAACTTGACTTTTGCTTTGTATGGGGTTTTTAAAGACTGCATTCTGTGTGCATCTGGAGTGTCAGGTTAGGTATGTTTTATAAATCAAAATATATAAAGAAGCTGTGTGCATGGAAGGGAATTTAATAGTCTGTCATTGATATCTGGTTTGTAAAAAGATAATAGGGTGACTGACCATCAGTAAGAAAACGTGTTTTAAAGAAAATTTAAATTGAAGTTTCCTAGGTAAGAAGAGAGCTGTCTAATAAATAAATAAATTACTATGGAAGTGTTTAGACTGTAGTCAGATAATACAAATCATTAAAAAAATGTATTGCCAAAAAGGGACATATTTTAGGAAGTTTGTGCTTTTGTGCTTATAAATCTGAACATTCGGAATTAGGAGGAGCAGAACCGGTCTCTTTACCACTAACTGAATTTAACAGCCTCGTCTCTCCTTGAATAAGTTTCATAACAAATTTTTTAAAAAAACTTCCAATCACCTTGAGCAGTCAGAAAAAAATCATCCTTAAAATAGAAAAAAAAATGTAAATGATCATTTGAAAGTATGTAGAAATTTCACTAAAATAAGGGGGATAATGCAGATAACATTTAAACAAAACCTGAGTGAAGTTCAGGAAGAACAGAATCTGAAAGGGAATCTTCAGAAGTTCTGTTTTCGTACTGTATAGTTTTTTATCACGTTCATCGCCCTACTTAGCCCAATCAAATTATTTTTCTTAATTGAATTGCTTAAAAGTGGCTGTATGTCATAAAAATGAAAAATGTGTGTTTCTCTCCCTGATCAACTACAGAAAGTTTTGACAAGAAAAAGAACTATTGCCCTTCTGCCTGAAGAGAAAATATCCTGATTGACAAGTCAAAGATTTACTGTGCATCTGACTAGACTTTGCAATATTGTATATTTTGTCATAATTTTAAGGTGTCTTTATGACTCCAGATTACCTTAATGCTCCTTTTCTTATTGGTTACTTTCCAATTGGTGCTTAATACGGGTTTTTGAAAGATGGGATGAGTCAGATGGAGGGGCCCATGCGTTATTTAAAATGCGTTCTGAAAAACTTCAGAACACAGAATAGCGTTTCAAACTTCTAACCCAATTCTTTCTAATGCAAAAAAAGGTATCCGCAAATGCCTATCGCTATGGAATGTAAGTGCTTCATGTGCACCAAGTCCTTCAACTTTTTCTGGTAGCTCTGATGTTCTCACAATTATTCTTCATAGAGTTCTATTTAACAATGAATTGATAAGGACTCCACTAACGGACTTCATACTTCGCTCTGATCATGCATCCAGTCTCTTGTGAAATCTTCAACATTATCCACCCTCTTTTCTAAAGCATCAGTTTTAGATGAGGGAGGGTGATTCAAGGTCATGATTACAGAAAGATTTGCATTAAGCAGGGTGTTTGATATCCTCCTCAGGGAGGTTTGAAGAGGGGATAGGTATGCTTTTTCTGCTGAGCAAACAGCATCTCAAATAGCTGCAACCAATGGAGATTGAGGTAGATGACCAGAACTAAGAGTCCTTCCTTTTTCATATCCTCTGCTTTAGGAATCTCCACTGTATGAGAACCTGAGACTCCTTTAGACTCTTTCTCATCTCTGTTGGTTTCTTTAGGAAGACCAGTAAACCAGTAGTTGCTTAGGCATTTATAAATTCTCCTCCCTCCCTTCATGCACACACTCGTACTGTTGTGACATCATACAAAATCTCCCCTCACCCCCAACCAACACCTCACCGATATTCTGATAACATCTCTATGTAATCTTTCCAGTCCTTAGTGAGCATACTGTTATTGTAAGCCAATCAGTCTCATTTAATTTTTCATAGTTCTTTCTGGACACACTTCTGAGGAGAAAACTTATTTTTATTATTCTGAGAGATCCTCAGTTTCAACAAGTTAATAAGAAATTCTAAGGTACCAGTGCCTATCCAGCTGTCTCATGAGCTATAAATTGTATATACCCCTTATGGTAGTTTCTCACCAAGTTCCCATGAGCTTTTGAAGATTTAATTATAAACTGACTAAAATCGATGTCTTTGATAACTGGTGACCTATTTTAAATTGACAGCCTTTGTGAAGAATATTTTTTTGGTATAAGAATGGCATCTGAAAAAGCCCTTGTTTCTGCAGCCTTTTAAAAGGATGTTTAATAATGTCTGATGCAATCAGTACTTGACCCTTTGTCTTATAGCAAAGTATTTGGGTTTATTGCTATGCCTAAATTGGATTTGTGTTTATGAATGTACAATGTTCAGTATCACTTGGATCAAACAATATTTTACATGTGTAATCAGCTGCAAATTATATATACAGATTTTTATAGGAGTCATCAAAAGAATAATTGCACTCCAAGATGCAAAATTAAATGTTGCATTGTTGTCCTACAATTTTCATATTCACCCACATGGTATCTTCCAGTAAAGAACAAACCAGAAAAACCTACCCTTTTTGAAGCCGTGTTTTCTGTCTGCAAATTTACTTTGTTTGCTGCTGTCTGAGCTGCCCTATCTTCTCTCCCCTATGGCCTGATCCATGAATTAGTCATGTACGTCAGTGATATTGTGTCACCTGCTACTTAGCAAGTATGGAAGCTTTGTTTCCTGGGATGTTGTCAGATATGTCAGTTGTACCATAAATGTAGGAGCCAATCTCTTAATTTTATAAATTTGAAGGTTGTTTCTTTGTGTTTTCAAATTTACAGGACCAGATCATGTGGTATAAATGAGTGCAGCTCTCCTGACGGCAGTGGAACTGCACTGATTTACTGAGGATCTGGACCTTCATTTTTAATGTCTTTCATGTGTACTTGGGACCAAAATTCTGGAATCTCTCCTTCTGCCAGGAAGGCATAATCTCAGCTTTGTGTGACCACTTCTCGTGTATCAGTGCATATTAGCTAGGAGAGGGAACTGGCTGTTTGATAATAGGCAAGTCTACCCCTTCTTCTTGCTACCCTCCTTCTACTCTTCCCATCTTACTGCTGGGTGGAGAATTTGAGGGAGGCACCAGAACCTTCACGTGTCTATCAAACCTAACTACTGGCGCAGCAGCCTGGGGATTCACCCAGAGTGAATGGTGGCTCAGAGGATTGGGAATGGCTTTTCACCTCTGGCTCTCCCGCTGAAACCATTCTAGGGTGGTAAAGTAACTACCATCTACCATCTAATGGCTGTTTGGCCTGCATGAAATGAGTTGGTGGTTCAGTCCAGTGTGAAGTAGACTGGTGTCCACAGTACAGTTGCCTCACTGTTGACTGTCACAGAGAACCTGTGGGTTGAGTGGACATAGAAATGGAATGATCATCTTATCCCTCCAGGTGAAGACGGAGGCGCATTAGCAGACATTGTGGGGAAGCTTTCACTGTCATTGAACCCTTTGTGCCCATATCATGGATAAGCAGAGAATTTCAACCCTGAGGGCTGTCAGCCTAGCATTCTTCATGTTCTCTACACTAACACTGCTGCAAAAGAATGGCGTACTCATCAGAAATCTGGTTAAAGCTACTGCTTATTTAGAGCAGACAGAGTCCAGACTCTTTACCTCATCAGTGTTTATAACCTCACCTTTTTTCTTTCTCTACCCACAGAGTCATTGGTTTCCTTGAAGCTTTTGTGTGCATAAAGTTTGGTCAAGAGCTCTTCTCCAAAACACAAATATTGTATGTTGTGTTTTGGCTTCTTTGTGTGGTAAGTGAGACTTCTCGCTCATGAAACACAGTGCCCAGCAATGCCTTGAGGCCTCGATCCTGCAAACCTTATGTACCTGAGTAGTGTGTACATATACAAGAACTCCTGCTGAATTCAGTAAGTAAGGACTTCTTAACCCAGTAAGAGTTGCAGATGTGAGCCCTAATACTCTGAAAATTGTTAATGGTACAATGAATTTGTAAATACTCTTTCTTTAATAAACAAATTGGATTTACTAATATTCTCAGAAACAAAGGGTCAAACTCTCTCAAATGGAGTAGCTGCATTGACTCAGTGCAATTAAACCAGTAGAAATCTTGTCCCAAAATTCTGTAAACGTTTTTATGTTGTTTTTTCCACCCTTTTGTAGGCTGTTACGACTTTCCTGTGTTTATATGGAATGGTTTGGTATGCGGAGTACTCTGGCCACCGAGAAAAGGTACTTTGGTGGGGACTCAATTTTTATTTTAAGCCAAAATTAAGCTGCAACACAGCCACATTGTTATACATTCTTGTAAAGAGAATTCTGACGTAGGAATCAAGGGTGTGATCCAGAGTCCTTTGAAGTGAGTTGGAAACGCTTCCATTGAAGTCAGTTGGCTTTGGAGTGGGCCCAAAGTGTGTTGTTGTCTTCAAGGAACACTGTAATCCTAGCTGTACGAAATAGGGCTAACACTTTATCAAAGACTGGAATAATAAATAACTAATGTCTTCACTGTCTACATGAAAAGACAAGAAAAATATGAAAAATATTGAGAAAAGCTTTGTTAAAAGACAGACCACCTCGGAGCTGTTGCTTTATTGCCATTTTACGGTCCTGTTGTTGTATCAGCTATTTGTGCTTGATAATGAGATGGGGAAAGACCTTTACTTCCATTAGCATTTTTGTCAGAATTCTTGCTGCAGCTTTAATGCTACAAGTCCTAACCAAAAATGTAGTGGAAAGGAGAAGTGTAGATTGACTCAGCCTCCAAATGACGTGTGTCCTCCTTGTCTTTACAGACCTTGTCAGAAAGCGAGGACAGCCCATACAGCCCAGATGCCTCATGGCTTCATTCTAAATTCACTAAAGGTACTGCTGCTTTGCATGCACGTTCTGAGTGTCGTATCAGTGGGAATACAGCTCAGTCCTAACAAATGTATTTTGAGAAACCTACAGTATAGGTTATTTGATCTACTTTCTGACCCACGCAATTCAAGTTCATCTAGAAATAAGCTGCAAAGCCACTTTTATTTTTCCCCACTGATTTCCTTTCCATTTATTAGAATGTGATTTAATTTTTAATGGAACAAATGGCTCCTCCGCCTGTTACTGTTCCATTCCTTTCTGACAGTGAATGTTTGAGATTGGAGAATTTCACAACTTTGTTGGGCAGGTTTTCTCGCTGAACATCCCCTGTATGGCTTCAAGTGAACAATGTGAGATGTGCTTTTATGCCTGCTTGTTAGTGAGCAGGCAGGAATGTGCCCAGGAGCTTATGTTCCTACTGACACTTGACTACATGAACATTTAGTTCATGGCAAGTTGGGGTGCCAATCTACCCTGCACTAGCCTGCCACAGACTAGCTGTCCATGTGGACCCTACGGATGTGCGTTTTGTTTCAAAGAGAACTAGATCAAAGTATATTAGTTGATTAACGAGCTTAATGCAGTTCAGCAGGGTCCACACAGACAGTTAGTCAGCCACTTTTTATTGCAATGAAAATCAAGTAGGCAGCCTGTTTTCTCCTTCTCACACTTTAGTGAGGACCTTCCTGTGGAAAAAGGACAAGATTAGCATCTGGAAACTACCATTCAGAGGTTACACTCCAGGTGTATTTACATCATTAAAACAATATTTTCTTTTCATTGTAACTTTCTAGAGTCCTGACACTTGAAGCACTTACACATGTTTTTCTTCAGTTGCATGCACAGATTTCCTAGGTTGCCTGTATTGATTTCTTTTTGGTTTGTTATTTAAAGAACATATTAGATTGATTTCTTTAAAAAATACATCCATTAAAATAGATTTTTCAAGCATAGAAAAAGAAAATACTCTAATTGTTGGTCTAAAAACATTAACAGTGTCCCCTGACTTCATCAGAGTTATCTGCTCAAAGGCAAATTTTCTGCTAAAGTGTGCAAGAGGTTAATGCCAGTGTATATTCATCATCATCAGACCTCTCCACCTGCAAAGGCCCAATGTGTGTGACAAAGATGCAAAATGAGAGATACTAAACAATTATTCATGCAGGAAACTTGGTGATGGGATTCATTCCATAATTCTCTTCAACCTCAGTTTCATGGTTCTTAATTTCTAATGTAAATAATTGTCAACAGTATGAGGGAGATGTCACTCATTTTAATCCACATTCAAATTTGCCATCAGTTTAAATGAGGGACACTTCAGCATCACATTTTAATTTGTTAAATTTTTGAAGTTGCCTGGAGAGAGGTTTTCTTGCAGAAGCTGACAGAATAAATGTTTTAATTTGGCCACTAGATGGAGTGCTAGTATCAAACAAATAGTTTCAGCCTGCAATAATTACAGTAGTTTAAACTTTACATAGCTAGGAAACCTTAAAAACTAAAACTGAAGAATTGCTTTCAACAGTCAGCTCCAAATCTTAAATGTATTTTGATTTCTTTGTAGGTACTGAAGATAGTCCACCAAAACATTCAGGCACCATTGAGAGCCATTCATCTAGAAGAAGGAATCGTCATTCCAAAACAAAAGTAACCAATGGAATTGGCAAGAAATAAGATCAGTCTCTAAAGATGTTCCAGAGTATGCCTAGACATGAGAAGGAAAACTGGACCTCGTTCTGAATTCCCTATTAGAAGGTTAATAAGAAAACAGGTGGAAGATGAGGGAAAATGTTTGCAGCATCCGAAGGGTCTAATACCTTTTAAAATGTAGCCATCAGTGTATTGCAGATCATTGTCTGTTGCCATGTGCCATTCACTGACTTAAATCTAGTTTCTTCAGCACTTGGCATTCAGAAACAAGTAGTAGTATGTTGAAAGGAAAAATAGTTTGCTCTTGGCAGGTATGTGAAGGTGTATGTTCAGGTATCCCAATTTGCATTTTTAATATCTTTGTTAGTTGAGAACATTAACCCAAATGCTAATGGACAATGACCAGATGTTTTGGGGTTTTTTGTTTGATTTGGGGGAGGGGAACACCATGGGATTGGTTGGTTGTTTTTGTGTCTTTGTTTTGATTAGTTTTTTTGTTTTGAAACATATGCAATCTTTGATTAAAAGCAGCTCTGCCCTTCATTCCCAATCAGATAACTAAACTTTTCCATACTAATGGTTCCTTTTATTTTAAGTATTTTTTAAAAATTCCATATTTTTATCCAATTGCTCATTTTTATTTAATGACACTCTCTCCACTCGGTGGCAGGATTTTACCAACTGGGGAATGTGTCCAGGTTTCTTATAAAGGTTGCAGAGTTAATTTCAAATGTTTCCTCATTTCTGATTCTGTTCCCTATCCCATTTGTTAAAGCCTAATTCCAATGCATATATGAAACTTGTTACACAGTAGTGAGGGCTATACCTGTTGACCCCAGGGGCAGATGATGTATTGTTCAGTTTACTTCCCCCCAGCCCCCATTCCCATTTACTGCTGTGTATTAGCTGCACGTAGTGTTATGTGTTCAGTACTAGTAGGTATTACTCTTTCACTTGTGTCATACTTTGTAAAATACTTGCCCTTTGCTTTGCCTCAAGTTTTAAATAAGATTCACGTTAAAGGCAGCTTGAAGGCTTTTGGTACTGCCCAGTCTGGTGATAAGGCAGCTTCTTCACGAAGTACTGTAGCTCACTTTTTTGTAAGTTTACAATCATTCGTAAAGACTCACTGTGTTGCTGAGAGTAGAAGGGTTCACACAATATTATTGTGTTTATACAGTGTTTTCCTATTTCCTAACATGCTATCAAATAGCAAACAAACCACATATTTGAAACATCCATACTAATTATGATCTGAAAGTGGGTGATTCCCTCAAACTGCAGCTAGCATAACGATTATTCTTTAAGTAAACCTGTGAGATCAGTCAGTCCCCGTACTAAATTAGCAGATTGATTTTTTTTTTTTGGTGCCAACTGGGTTGTGGGGCCTATAACCCTAGAGAGCTCAGCAAAGCAGACAGGTTAAGACAAATAAATAACATCCATGAGTCACTAGTCCTTGTAATAATTAAGATTTAATTTCTGAGAAATGTTACTGTGATTTGCCACAGGTTATGTACTATAAAATGCTGTAAAGACTTTATCATACAAGTGTATGACACTGTAAATAGGAAAACCATTCTGTGTATTCCATGACGACCTATGTGCCACAGATTATCAAAAATTTGGATGCACTTATTATGCTCCTGCCTAACTCATTGGAAGCCCTTTTAATTTTCTTCAGTCCAACACAAATGTACAACTTAAGAACTAAATTGTATTGAAAGCTGCTATATCATTTTTCTGCAACTACGTTGAATTTTACAGGAAAAAAGGTCTGGAAGACTTTTTTGGATTTTTCTACAAATATTCTGTTTTCATTTATATTACCAATGCTGTAGTCTGTGGCATCTCCATTTGTTCTTAGTATGCTGCTTATTGTTGAATGTATTTGCAAGTTTCTTTGGCTACTCGAATTTGTTACTTTTATATTTCACTTGTTTATAATTCAGTCCCTGCAAGACTGAGGATGGCATTGTGAATTGTTTTTCCCATATATTCAATACCAAAGCAAGAAGTTGAAGTTTAACATCATAGTTACATTTTGTATTTCAGATGTATAATTTTTATTTTAAAGGACACAGTTTTTCAAAAGTGAGAGCCTGTTTTGTGCACACTCGCATTGTACATATAAAACACACCCTGGCTTGTGAAAACTGGGGCTTATGTATACAGTTATCCATTTCCCACACACAGTGGGTATATGCAAATGTTTTGCAAGTGCAGAACTGGTACTCACATTTGTGAATTGGACCCTAAAAATTTAAGAGGAAATATGAAGAAAGTTGAAGGTTCATCTGTTGAAGGTTCTGACTTCTGAATTCTGTTACACTAGCACAGGTCAGACCAGTAAAACATAGGTCAGGACCTTCAACTCATAATGCCTATGGAAAAGGAATGTCCAGAAAAGACATCTTTCACGTGTTTCCCCTAGTGTTTTTTTGTTTTTATTTTTTTGAAAATTAAAGGGAGAGTGGGGGAATCGGGGGAAGTTAAGTAGAGTCTTTTAGGCAGTTTGAAAAATGGCACTTTCTGCACTCCACCAGCAATCCTGGCTGCGATTGACAAGTGTTCTGACAAGTTCATCCACTGCCTGACAAGTGCTATTTCCACTCCATTTTCCATGGCAATGGGCCTTGCATTGGCATAAATAGGATGGTGCTTTTGATCACTGCTGTAAATCTGAAGTAATTATCATTTCCCCCCTTATCGCTGTACTCCACATACAATTCATGTGCAATGGCCAGTGAGAATGATGAATAACTTGAGCTGTTCTATTAACTAATTTCCTTGTATCAAGAATTCTGCTGCTTGAATAGTCATTGTTACTGTTACAAATGCACTGTCCCTTTTTTACCCATTCTTTGTCCTTCCAGGTCTTCTCATCTTACCTTCCTTTTATTCTCTTCTCTCTCCTATTATTCTGTCCTCCAGTTTTAAAACAAGCTATTCCCTGCCATTGAAAGGACTGAATTTGCCCTCCAGAGACGTTACTTAATGTTAGTCATTGAAGGGGGGCTAATTCAGTCCAGCATGGCATAAGCAGAGGATAGTGGCAACACTTTACAATGCTGAGTGGATTTAATAGCAATAGACAGTTTTCAGGATGGGGAATGCTGGGAGGGTATACAGTGAACCGGAAGCCACCAAAAGTGAACCTCACTACCAGCTGCCAGTATTAAAGCTGGATGGAGAGCTGTGTACATGAAACACAGTATCTAATAAAATACATGGAGGAGCTTGATTTCTGTTGTTCTTTTGTTACTCGGCTGTGAAGAAAATAGTTTGCTGTTTCATCTATTAAAGCCTTGGTATTTACTACATTATCACAAGATGACACACCAATTACCATGTGTTTAACATTGTTTTCAATAGAATTGCTCTGTACTGATTGCGAAGTATCGTATTTTGCAGTAACTCAGTAAAACAACCCATGTCAACAATATGTGTTTGTCATCTATATACAACAGGGCACAGCAGGTGATCACTTGTTAGAAGCTGTTAATTTTTATACTACTAATTGCAGACTGACGCATTCATCCACTTCCATCATAGAACCGAGGCTATAACACTCTGAGGTCTCACTGCAATCTGCTACTTGAGAGGAGAGCAGACTTTTAAAATACATCAGTAATATCACAGCTTTCTCTTGTTTCTGACACTACTTCTCAGGTTTCTAGCAGGCAGAATACCTCTGTTCTAGTAAACCTAGCTATCCATTTTGCATTTTGGATATGTTACTTTATTATTGCAGACCACATAGATATGGAAGAAGTGAGTTGTCACAAAGTAGCTTTGATTGCAGACCTTCTAAGGTGAACAGAAAGGTTTCTCATGGAGGAACAGGAAGACACGGGTTACTGCA